AGCCCGTAATGAACAGGCTTCTCGATTCAAAAGATAAAACGCCATCCTGCAAACTCTGGAGACTGAAATAAGGGAGAGCCCAGCACTGAGCTTTCTAGCTTGCTACAGCTCAGCAAGCTGTGAGCAGCCTGACATGGCGCCCATTGAAGTCGGTGATAACCAAGCTGGCTTTATAGATGTTACATGAAGAACCCATCACGTCCCTGGGTAAGTTACTACACTGGCTAATTAACCTCACTTAAAATGCACACCTCTTCTGTAAACGTGCCTGGCTTTCAGACCGGCTCTTGTTCTGCTGTCTCCTGCCAGCTGAATGAGCCACCTGCTCTGAGCAATCCCTCCGCCAGGTAGACCCCGATCAAATCCTCTCTCAACCTTCTCCGGGATTAACGACATAGATCGAGCATCTTAGGTCTCTTGCTGTCAGGCAGGTTTTCAGGATCGTGAATCCTCTGATGACTCTTTTTTGGAACGCTTTGTCATCCTAATCTGTTTTTTCACCTGAACGGGATGCAGATCCAATTGCGGCCTCCTTGGTGCTTCAGGCCCAGGGGATGCCACCGCCTGCTCCTTGTGCACCTAGGAATCACACCCTCCATCTTGGCTCGCATTGTACTAGGGCCACGTATTCCAGTTGTGCACTATGGCGTATTGCAGGGACACCCGCATCTTCCAAGGGTTAAGAGCAGCGTTGCTGGACAACAGCATCGGTGTTTCTATTGCAGTGGCTGTTATGCTTCTGAACAGGGTCTCTGTGAGAAACAGCACATCACTAGCCCACAGGTTTTGCTTCTCTGAGGTAGGGATGAAGTACAAGCCAGAATGACAGTCCATTGCTCTCAACAGGAATCAGCAGTGGATTTAGGATCAGACACTTAAAGGAAATAGGCTCAAATAGGCCACTGGACCTGGACACCCAAACCCCCAGCTGCGGGCAGCTGCAGGGGTGACAGACTCTGCATGGAAAAGCATCCTCATCTGGCCTGGGTGGCAAGGATCACCCCTTGGCTGGTTGGCTCCGTAGCAGAGAGCAGCGGGAAGGGCCCAGGCTTGGCCACAGTTGTGAACAGATGCAGCAGCTTCTTCTGCAGGGTACCTGGCTGGGGAGAAAGAGCACAGCAGACATTTGTAGCCAGGACAGCAAACCGCAGGGGTACAAGGAACCCACCCTGCCCCACTGCATTAGCCATGCCCCTGCAGGACCCTGTGCTGCCGAGGTGTTAAACTCTCACCATGCCCTGCCCCAGCCAGATCGTCTCCCATGTCCTGGAGCTGATCGCACAGGCCTGCCCTGCCTCCCTTGTTCCCAGCTGGAGTATCCCCCACTTGACCCACTGCCTCCCTCGTCTCGTTCCTGCAGGTCCCAAGCAGGGCATCTGGCCTTACCCCAAGCCCACATAGCAGCAGCACTGCCCCTGCCAGCACCAGCCCAGAAAGGGAGCCAAAGCTTCCCGGTAGATGCCAGCAGCTGCTTCAGCCCCTCATGCCCTGGAGCTCATGCCATGGTGAGCCTGGAAATCCTCACAAGCCCCAGGGAAAAGGCAGCACCGCAGTCTTAGTCAAGGAAAGCCTGCCAGGATCTGAGCCCAGGTCCGTGGTGGCTAAAACCCTTCCACCCTGCTCTTGTTCCTCTGCCAGCAGAGCCTCTCTACTCTCCCATCTCTGGCTACACATGCAAGAGCATGTGGGGTGCGGCGTGGGAAAGGGAGTGAGCAGCAAGCCACCACGGCCAGACTCAGCACTGCAGCATCTCCATCCCTCGGCCTAACAGCTGAGGGCACACCAGAAAAGATCCTTGTCTATTCTCCCTTGAGACTCTTACCAGTAACGTAGTCCTGGCAGACACTGGGAGAACAACCTTCGTCAGAATAAAGATGCTGAGCTTAAACAACAAAGGAGACCAGAATAAAAATCCTATGACTTTAGTTCCACCAGTTTCGTTGCATCTCTGCCCAGAGACTTGAATTGATCCAGAACATCTGTTTTCATATCAATCTGCCTGTTCTACATGCTAAAATTTTATGAAGCTTTTTAAGTAGTAACCATCTACGAGTATAACTCAATTTAATCTTTAGGCCCTCGGATTTATATAACTTGTGATTTTTGCAGACACTTTGTGGTTCATATTTTTAAAATCTTCAGTGGTTGCATTGTTTTTTTAAGTAAGAAAAAAATGTAAAACTTACTTTACAACTCACTGTCTCGTAATAACTTCATTTCTCTCGGGGGGGGGGGGGGGGGGGGGGGGGGGGGGGGGGGGGGGGGGGGGGGGGGGGGGGGGGGGGGGGGGGGGGAATTCCTGCTGGAATTTTACGTCCGTTTGAATTAAAAATTCCAGGACAACGAATGTTTGCATTTCTTTTCAAACACGTATGATGCAGGAGTAATGCCAGCCAATTCTTTTAGAAGTAAATTAAGGAATTTTTACCACCCAATTAAACTCTCTTGAAATGCAAAGTTTATAACAGGAAGTGTCATTTATAGAACGGCATCAGTGAGACCATGAGGAACATATTCAGCAGCCCAGATAGTGTTTCTGGATCTGATGCTGGACCCAGGTCAATGCAGGCTCCAGGCACGTGATGCATTCCAGGTAGAGAATTAATTGAAGAATGCGCGACATCCCAAAAGACAAGCCAGAGCCCCCAAAAGAACACTGAAAACCAGGGTCATTCTTGTGTATTTTTACAAGTCTTTCTGGATACAGTGGTTAGAAGAACTTGGCTTGTTTTTTAAAGGATGCTGAAGCTGGGTCATCAGGACAGAAACCCACTGCCCTGTAAAAAGCATTGGGTTCCCTCCTAGGATTTGTGCAACGAACACCGCTCACCCATGACTGTATCCTACAGGTTTCCCATGAGGAGAAATTCCAGTGTCATTTTGGGCAAAGCAAAACCGAGGGCCAAAGCAGCTGTCAGATGTTGACAGCCCCACCCAGAAGCTTTCTCTGGACACACGACAATGGTGCAAGTGCAAAGAATGCCACCTGGGTCCCAAACGGGAAGCCTCTGGATTTCTGCTACCAGCCTAGAGGAGATCTGCCCAAAGCAGTATGCTCCACAGCTCATCTGTCTGGGAGATGGGCTCCCCATACTGAACCTACTATCTAAGCCACGACCATCAGATTTACTCACGTAGCTGGGCACTGTTTACCCAAGGGGCAGGTTTTCCAGCTTCTATGGTGTGTTAAGGAAATAAGTTGAAGAAATACTCTTAATGTTTTAAAATTGCATTGGAGATGCAGGGAATTCCTCAAGAAAAAACATGCTATTTAAGTTTATAAACAGAATGTAACAAAACATTAAAATGTCATAGCTCTAGAACTGAACTGAGCCCAGAAATGTTGGCGGATGTTTCCAGCATCAACCCCTCATTCTACCCAATTCTGTTGGGGGAGAAGGGCAACATGGTGTTTCTATTGTTCACTCACCCATGAAATCTTGTGGATCAAAAGGACTGGGCCTTCGCTGGGTTTGCTTCTTGGCAAACTGTTTGGGGTCCACCTGAGAGACCTCAGAGTCCTGCAGAAGTTGCTCCACCATCATCATTCATTATCATGCTGGAAGTCACAAAGGGAAGTACTTGGGGCTACAAGGCCACCAATATGCCAACAACCTGACTTACCTCCATGTCTTTTTCTTCTTCACCCCATTCCACTCCTAGTGGCTGATAAGTAACAAGGGATCAGGATGAAATAAAATGAAATAGAAAGTGGCAAAAAAAAAGGAGCTTCCCTCCCAGGTCTATCTTACCCAGTCACCTGTCTCTGACTGTGGTTTGTGACGGTTAGTAAAGGATATTTAGAGGTTTGTTTTTAGAAATGAGCTCGTAGGTAGATATTGCATTAGAACAATGGTCCAGGGGAATGGCAAGGGTTAAATGATTTTTAAAAGCCCGTTTATGCCCAGGTTTCATGGTCTCAGGCTTCAAGGCAGACACCGTGTCTGAGGCCCAGGGACAAACAGGCTGGGAAATTTGCAGTGTTCCCTGAAAATCCATAACATGAAATAGGCTTGCTGCATGGGCTAGGTCAGCAAACAGCTGCAAAGCCCCTGGGACTTTTGGTTTCTGACTCAAATGTGTCCAGGGCATGCCCAAATTAAGACACAGGTAAATGACCAGATTAAGATATATGCATGTGACAGGCTTACTGGAACAGAAGAATATGCTGACAGAAGAAAACGTGGACAGTATAATAACCACAGAAAAACCAATCAATGGTACCCCCAGCAAAGAAGAGTTATCAGAGGAGAAAGAATACAAAAGGCAGGATTTCAGAGATGCAAAGGGTCCCCATGGGGGGTGGGGATCCCAAGGCCACCATGGACAGAGGGCACACCACCAGCCCATCTCACACACCCCACTGGGCTGGGCTGGGCCTCAATCTCCAGGCTGCTGCCATTGAAGAAATGAAGAAAAAACCATAGGGTGAAGTTTGTGTACTGACCACATGTACCTTCCCTCTGTGACGAGCCTTACGACCGAGAGATACAGAATTGGGGGGGGTGGGGAGGGTATTTTGTTTGCCTTCCTTCCTTATTCTTATATTCTATCACTGTGTATCAATAAAATTTGCCCATTATCTAATAGAGAGTTTGTGGTCAGTCTGAGGGTTTGGGTCCACCCAGAACAAGGTATCTGGGTCATAAATCCAGTGCCAACAGTTAGGACTAGTAGTTTCAAAAGAAGGTGTAATAATCTCACAGAAACATTTGTGAGATAATCTGCTCCACAGGGCTTGGAGACTGGTTACGGTCCCCAGGTCTGAGATGCAACGATAAAACTGGAAGGGAAAATTAGCCAGCCACCCTAGACAGCATACAGTTATTGAGGACCCCATCCCATTTTAACTCTGGTTAAACCCTTGGTCCCAGTAACATCACATAAGAGCAAGTTGCACTGTTTAATCATGTCAAGGGAAACATTTTTTTCTGGCTTCTCATTAAATAAGACCTGCACATAAAACATTAGGGACCCATTTGACAAGAATGCACATGAGATCAGCTGGATTTGTGCAACTTTATTTGAACAAAAACCAGCGCTGATATTTTTAATAAAGTCTACATTACACTAAATGCATGTACATTTGTAAGATGCTCAAATAGCTGTCAGGAAGGTGCTGAATACTATATACAGAGTTTAAGTTAAAAAATTTCACATTTTACATAAGATTTGATTGACAGTCCTATGCTTCAATGGTACAACTGGTAACCAACAGGGGGGGGTAAGAGTCACCAGAAATCTCAGCTGCAAAACTGTATAAATGCACTATTTTAAAGGAAGTGGTTTCATGGCATCATTCTTTTATTTGTTTTAAATCAAATCTGGATACAGTATTTTTTCAAAAGTGATTAGAATGAACATTTTCAAGAAGAATCTGACTGGTGTGTTTTCCACTGCTGCTGTTTCCTTCCATAAAAACCTGTATCTTATGCTATCCAGACAGCTGCTTAGCTTTTACATCTTAAAATAATTACACAGTATGCTTCTCAATACATGGTAAAAAAATATCAAACAGCAAGGGAGATATGTTCCAAAGACACTTTGAAATTCTTCAGTCCACTTTCACAACACTGTAAATCTTACTAACAAACCAGAAGCAGGCAAAAAATCCAATAGTCCCTGGAATAAGAAGAGAGTTAAAATGGTTAGTTTATCTTTCAACATGCTCTCGGAGCAAATCTAATAACAAGCAGTTCCCAGCAGGGCAGCAGATCCTATTATAATCCAGTTTTCTATCTCTATCTATAAAAGTGCACTCTTTAAAATTTAACAATGCGCATTCATCCCGGGCTGCCACATCATCGGCTTCAAAGTCAATAAAGATTTTTAGGACTTCTATGATGTACAGATAAACAAATGAATGGGACAATTACACCATTCCATAATTAGCAGTCACATACACAAGTGCTCTGAACTAATGGTCAGTTAATGCCCTAACATTTTACCCACACAAACCATATCTATCTGCAATTACTCGCTGCTTCTTGCCGTGTGCTACTGCAAGGGTAAGCTTTTCCTGGCTCTGCTACTGACTGACTTTACCTCCTACTCTCACCTTCTCACTCCATCTTACTATTTAGGCTATGTTCTCTGGAGAGGAACTGTCTGACAGCATCTGTGACCCCTACGGCAGTGGTTCTCAGCCTTTTTTGTTCCAGGACCCATTTGTAAACAGCAGTGGCCAGTCCCAACCCAGTGCCCCTCACTTCTGACCTGCTGCCCCCTGCCCTCAGGCCCCAGCTGCCCAATTTGTGGGATGGGAGGTGAATGTGTGCGGCAGCTCCTTACAGGCTGGAACTCTGCCAGCCTGCAAGGGAAAACCCATGGTTTCCCACGTGTTCCTCCTTTAAAGGAGAATCCATTTTTTTTAGAAGTTTGTTGATCCACTTTTAAAGTTTGTTCACAACCCTTTCATATGTTCTTTTGGGTCGCAACACAATCGTTGAGAAACACTACCCACAGGTACTACAGTGGATCTTGGATAGGGTTTCTAGGCATTACACAATACAAACATTTTATTTTTAGAGTGGGACAACTGGGCTGTAGAAATGACAGTCCAACTATGCACAGTTAACCCCCTGCTGCACATATACACGTGCATGTGCACACTCTATGCATCAGTGAAATGCCAGTCACATGGATCCCATCTCAGTTGTTCTTCCCCTCCACTCAGATTAACCTGGAAGGGAAGGTCCAGAGGCAGAAGTGACTGCAGTGCATGGCAGGAAGGTAGAGAGAAAGAAGCAGAAGACAAAAGAAGAAACTGGCTGTTGGTTTTGAGACAACTAGAAACAGCACGAGGCTCCTTGTAAATTGGGGAGGGGGGGGTCACATTCAGTGTGCCCCAAACCCCCCTCCCATTTATCCAATAGGCAAATAATGCTTAGGCCACTGGAAGAAAGCAAGTGGGTTTGGAAAACAATACTGATGTCTGCATGAAGCAGGTCTCTCCATCTTCCAAGCAGAAACAGGTAACAGCTAGGCATTGGCTAGCAGCTGTGGAAGAAAGGATGGCTGGTTTAAAACCTCAGTGTGCTTCTACTCACTTCTCAGATAGGCTTGAGAGCAGCAAAGATAGCAGGCATGAAAGGATGAGCAGAACACAGCAGTCTGCAAAGAGACTGCATGTTCTGTAACAGCGCAGCAAGTGATGACGAAGAGGACATCAGCATATGCCCCAAATTCACCAGCATTTAGCCCCAGGCTTCACGCTGATTTATGTGGAAGTCAGACAACTAAGACAAGTTAGGATTAAGCGCATCAAAACCACGCTGTGTGTGTGTTACTGTAAGAGTCCCATCAACACGACAACCCTCCTGGTGCATTCCACTCCATTAGAAGCCTTCTACTTCTCTAATTTTCCTTATGTTTCTACGGGGCACTGTCAGTACCAACTCTGTCATCCTCTGTTCGTTTTCAGCACCAGAAGATGTAGACAGTGGAAGGGAGTGCCAGGCTTCGGATTAAACATCTGCCTTGCATGCATTCACTGACCACAATTACACAAGTGATAAGCGACAAACCCTTCCTTGGAAGCTGCTTATTGTCTGCACACTAGTTCTTGCGTGCCACATCTTTCTGGTTAAGGGCTTTTCTGACAGCCTACTATTATGTGCCGCAGATTACCCTTTTCCTCCGAGTTTGCAGCTATCATCCGCAGAAACAGTAGGAGATGGCAAATTTATCGCAATTGATAGAAGATCATACACCAGCCAAAGACAGAATTTAATTCCTTCGTGGACTCGACATCACTAAGTCTTTTACAGCTTATAGCCAATTCTCTCACTCCTTCCTACTGTGTCCAATACTTCTCCATCACCACTGCTACTTGCTTAGCCTCGTGCTCAGTTGTTTGTTCCTTTTATGGTACACCTCAGCATCTGCCTTCTAGTTATTTTTATAACATAACGTGCTTTGAGCCTTCTCTTATGTCTCTTAAAAACCTGTGATGTGCTATGTTTCTCCTGAATGTTTAACAGATGCAGTTTCTTGAATTTCTATTACAGGGAAGCTGGCTGATTTATTATTTAAAAGGAAAAAATGTTAGCCAGGAAGATGAGATTCACAATGCACAGTTCTCAGACCATGACCATGCAAGTGCAAGCATGTCTGAACTTAACACAGGGAGACAGTCTACACACAGCCCCTTCCCTTCGCCACACTGGCTCTCCTGTAGACGCCACTTTTCTCAAAGCCCCTCATTCAAAACACAAAATCGCCTATCCCGCACCTCTCAAACAAGTGTTTAATCTGCAACCGGATTTTTCAAATCACTTGCATCATCTGTCCCAAAAACTCTGCTCTAAGTCAGACAACTCTGGGGGAGATCTTGCCAATTCTGTTACTGGGAGACAAGCAGACCAACTATAATATCGAAGCAGTTGAAAGGTAGATGTCCAGCACCCACTAGTCACACTGCCCTTTGAGAAATCCAGGTACCGTTCTTCAACAGGAAAGTTATGGGCTCTTTATGCCAGGCAAAATCTAAATTATTCCCTCCACTGGCAGTACGCCACTATCCTGGCCCTGTTCTGTAGCCAGAGGTCTGTCAGTGTTTTTATAACAAGCCCCAACGTGCATTGCAATTTTCTCTCAACACCCCACCCCAAATTTCTCAAGGATTTAGAACTCCCTAGAGCAGCATTGCTCAACCTTTCTGGTACGGAGGCCCATGAGTGGGATGCAGCCAGTCCAAGTGCTGCATCTGGCATGCTGGGGCCACGTCATCCAGTGCACAGAATACCACAGAGGTCTGAATATTTAGCAACGGGGGAGCGGTGACACCATTAATTGCCACAGGGCATCCAGAGCCATAGCAATTAACATTCCCACTGTTCCTCACTGCCTAATTTCTGGAGCCCCTCAGGAGCCAGCACTGGCCTTTTCAGGTGCTGGTTTTCATTTGACCCTAGCCTGAAATACATGCCTGCATGGCGGCAGTTTCAATTCTGATCCTGCCTCGCTTGCCCTCCTTTGTTGCTTTATTTACTATCACTCCAATGGTTATCTGAACCAAGCTTGTTATAGAGGATGCCCTTTCCTGCAGAGAGGACCATCAATTAGAGTCCTGTGCGAGCCTAGCATCAATTATAGAAAATTTTCTACACAATGCCCAATTTGAAGAATATGCCAATGTTTACAAAAAGCCAAAAGAGCAAGGCTACTTGTTCAAAAGTAGTCTCATTTCGTTATGATTCAAGGACCTGGCTAGAAAAAAAAAAAAACCCACCAGCTTTTCAAAAAACATGGTTAAAAGTAGACCAGAATTTTCTGAAAGTCTTTAAGGGCTCTCCCAGTTCATCACTGGCTTGTTAGCTATCGGAGAGCAATGAGACTTTCAGTTAGTTAGAAGAAATGGACAACCTGCAAATAGTTTTTACCATCTGCATGTTCTAAGAATCACTAGAGATAGTACTCAATCAACTTCCAGGAAATACTAATCTAAAATTGGAGGATAATTTTTTGGAATAATTTTCTGCTAGTCCCCCACCGTCTCTTCCATAACTATTTTTTCTATAGGGTTATAAACTTTGATACATACCTTTATTTTACAACAGGAGGCAGAGACTCCAACCCCGACACTGATCATACCTTCCCCCTCCCTCTGCCTCCAGGGCTTCTAGGTGGCCTCAATTTGTTCCAAAAAATCAACTGTTAACCTAAAAAGAACCAAGCCCTGTCCCTGTGAGCAGCTGCACACCTGCAGAAACATAACTAGGCTTTAGAAGAACATGCATTGGCTTCCTTTGGTAGCACATGATCCTCCCTTTCCTAAAAAAAGCTCTTACTGCTCATCCATAGAAATAGAAGTATCCATTCACTGTAGCCGATTACATATCTTCCTTCATCCTCTATAGAGATGTAGATATAAAGCCTGGTTCTGGGGTAGCTACTTCAAATTCATGAAACTGGTAGTGAAGATGTTACTGAATGTCTACAGTAACATTTCTACACCAAGAAGAAAAATGACCAATACATCATTTGTTTTATTACAACCAGATGGACATTTTAACTGTGTCTTGATATTCTGTTCCCCAATCTTATGTTGTCAGATACACTAAGCGGTGATGTATAAACTGCTGCCAAGAGATGGTCTTATACACAGAAAGACGACCACAAACCAACATTTAACAGACTCAAGCGAAGCTACTGGTAAGCTCTTTTAAATCCAGAATTAAAAACAGAATTACTGCACAGAGGAATACCGAAATACTTTAAGGACACTCTCCTGTTCTACTCAGCTCTTCCAGCTTTATTGTTTAATGAAGAAAAAAGAATTCAAAACACGAACAGACTGTAAGAAAGCAAATAGAAAAGCACTCTGCACTTGGCTGATACATCTTATGTACCTTAAAAGCTCTTTGTATCATACTGGTTTCAATCACTGCACAGTGGTGGGTGCTTCAGAATCTCAGATTCTAAACACAATCTACTCAGAAGATCAAAACTCAATTTTGAAAATGGCATTAACTCGCAAGCGAAAATGATGTTCAAAAATAGAGGTCACTGTAAAGCAACATGCTTTGACTAAATTCAACAATTTTTTTTTCTAGTCTCCAAGCACAAAATGTGTATAATCATACAACTATCCCCATTCAGCTATAGTTACACCTTTTTAAAACATATTTCTTGCAATTTGTATATTAAAATAAAATACTCTCTCCAAATTTATACAATAATTGTTAGATTTTACTGGTGTGATTGTAGGCAGTCATTATTTCACAAAGGCATTCAAGACTTATTTATGCATTGTGATCTCTTTTGTGGTGTCCACAATACCACCCATTGCCAAGTATAAGCTGCTAATGATGCTATTTATATTAGACATCAGCAACTGAGAAAGAAACGTTTAAGAACACAGGAAAACAAAACATTTATTTTGCCAACTTAACAGAATGGATCAAGGTTCATTCCTGCAAACATGCAGGCACAAATAAAGCTCCTCATGTCCATTAAAGACTCATCGATTCAATGAAAACGTGGCCCAATTCTTCCCACATTCGAAAGCATGGGAAGAATCGGGCCAAAGCTGGTGCTATTACGGAAAGCTTCAGGCACAAAACTGAACTTAATCTTGCTTGAATCATCTTGGTGCGATAGTTTACTATTCAGCCAAGCACAGATTCTCAAGAAAAACTAAAATGCTGTTTTCAGTTTTATCAAGGAGTTTGATTAAACCCTGCATGGTTAGTTTATAGAAAAGCACAAGAGATTGGTGTAGGTGGCTGAGCCTGTCTCCAGGCAGGGAGATGGGATAACTTCTCAGTGTCTCTTGCAGCCATGATCTAGGATTCTGTGACTTTAGAAAACAGTGAATTTGGAAACTGGTCGTTTCAGAAGTTCACAACTGCACAGTGATTTCCTTCGTTAACTGGCTATATGCAGCAGAACCCCTATTATCAGAGTTCTACTATTACAATTAATGTGAAGACAACAGAAGTACACTTTATTATTGTGCTTTTTTGGGCCTTACCAGCCTTCACATCAAGGACTCCAGGATCAGCACATCTGAAGCTTTTAATACCATTTCAGCAGCTGCCTAGACAATTTCAATTACCACTTTATGTATGAAAGGGATATTTTTAATCCCACCAATTTCCATCTAGTAGTCAGTGAAATTGAAACTGGCAGTGTAGCAACTAACCTATGCTAAAACCCAGACACAGATTAACATATTTCTTTAGTTAAAGAGTAATTAAAACATTTTTAACTTATAGATTTTTTTTTTTTTTTGGTAAATTGGAAAGGACATCTGGAGCTGGACTAATAACCTGGCATGCTGGACTAATATCTTTGGACATGTGCCAGGTTCTGTGCTTGCTTTCTAATAACAAAATCATAAGAAATAAAATCCTTCCTTGCCTACCACTTTTACAAGACTCAAGACTGCCTAATATTCAATATGACAGTCTTTTTCTGGAGCAGAAAAACTTTGGCAAAGTCCAACTAATGAGAAGGGAACTAGCACTATAGCAAAATACGTGGCAGCTAAATGCCATTACTTTAAATATAACGTATACAATGTTCACTTGTCTCAGAAACAAAGGCAGCAAGAGAAGACAGAAGTGTGGTGCAAGACGCCTGTGCGAGGGGGTAAATGTTCTCCTTCCCTGTGCAGCACCCTGCACCTGCCCCACTACTCCAGTGGTGCCTGTGGCTGCTCCTCTGGGGATTGCCTCCACCACCTTCTCCCACCCTTCCCCACCCGCAGGCAGCCCCTGGGCCACCCCATTCTCCTAGCAGCACACTGCTGCAAGCAGCAGATGCACAAACCAAGCTGCACTTTGCAGTCCACCCCTCCCATGCTCCTGGGGCCAGCATCAGCAGCAGGGGATGCCTCCCCCTGCCCCCCAGAACCTCCCCCTCCATGGTACGGACCAGGGGTCAGGAGGTGAAAGACAGTAGAAAGAGTAGGGCACAGCATGGTGAAGTCCTCCCGCTGCCACTCTTGATCATGTCTTAAGTAGTAATCCAGCCACACGTTCATGGTAAGACAGGGAATAAATAAGCCACAGAGTTGTTACAAAAAAACATGCAATAATAACTTTGTGGCTGGTCCTCACTGCACTTTAAAATTGAACACGAGGCTAACAGATCAGCTCCCAGCCTGCTGAGTCTTGTAGGGCTCCTATGCATTCCCACAGCCCGAAGCAGCAGTCAGCTGATCAGCACTCACAGACCCCTTAAAGATCATGATCCTGGACTCCCCCTGCTCCAGTAATAGGGTGCGATTGGCCTCTGGTGCCCCTCTCACCCATCTCTAGTACTGCTACTGCATGAGTCACAGACGAACTTTGTAAAAGCAGTACTAAGTTAATAAAAGGTCACAGGGCAGGCAACCCTGGCCATTTACAAAGCGTGTCAATAAACAGGTTCATTTTCCAGATGGTACAATTTGAGGGATGACATGACAAAGAGCCAGGGGCTCAGGAACGTTAGAGCAATCAGTTAGTGGATACCCAGTCCACACTAGTGATTTCACAGAACAGGTTTTGAAGTTTGGCTGCATTTAGCAAGGGTATCTTACCCAGTTAATACCCAGTTTCTTGTTAGCTCCTATTACCATATTATTTTCCCATTTTTTCACCAATTGCCCAATCTTTTTTTTTCCCCACTTTTCTTTCAGTTTCCTCAGGGACAAAGTTACTTTACTCAAGTTCTAATCACAAACCCAATGACAACAGCTGATACAAGTTTAGCAGAAAAGGCCAATTCTCTCCAAGAGCAGTGGAAATCACCCTTTTAAGTAACATCCCAGCCTGAGGTACTTCCTTCATTCCATAAGCTATTTTAAAAAGTTCACAACAATTTGATAGAGGGGGAAGATTTAGATCTTTTGCTGAAGGCAAACCAGACACAAAAAACAGCCAGCTAGCGGATTCTAGCAAGCACCCAAACAAGTGATGATTCTGGCCACCTCTCTGCAGTACTAATGGCTTTTCAATGAACAAGAACAATGTCTTCCCAAATTCTAGCTTCTGCATGGGATCAGGGAAAGAGGAAAGAATGGCTAGTGTATTGATTGTGTCCTTGTTTAGAACAAGTTAGAGAGTTTTTGTTGTGCAAACCACCTGTTTCACATACCATGCTTCAAGCATACTATATATTGAGAACCACAGAGAAAAGTACTCTCTTCTGGGCTCTACAGTGAAGTCTTGCCTGCACCGATGCAGCAGCAAAATACTGAAGGCATCCTTCCACCATCTATGTTAACACTTACCCTGGGAATCCCATCTGGCTCATTTCAATACATTTAAAATTCTAGAGACATCCAACACTTCCAGGAACTTTTCAGTATAATGGCCATTTCATTCAGCAAATTCTAGAGCTCACTTTGCTTTGTCTTAGTTGTCCAGCCCTGGATTTGCTTTCTACAACTCCTACTTGACGTTCGAAATAATTCGACTCTAATGGGTACTGAGTTCCAACTAGTCACTGTTAATACAAGTGCACTAGCATAGGAACATCTGGACACCATGTACACATTAAGCATATTTAAAATACCAGCTCCTATCCCTATATATTGCACATCAAGTCTTTAGCTTAAAAACATTTATGTTTAATAATTATACAAAGCACTTGGAGTGCTTCATATCATTTATTTATTTATTTCTACAAATACTTACGACTAAGGCACAAATTTATAAGCAGTAGTCCCACTTGATGGATGAACACACATCCACAGGTTAAATAACTTGCAAAAGGCACTCTGCATTTTTAATTCCTGAAACCCCATGATCTTTTCAATAGAGGAAGACTTCTCATTTAAGCCTCCTTTTGTCTCCTTTAATTTACATTTCCAACAGAACAACATTTTGCCAAGGGCATTTTGAAAAATGTAAACACGTTTAGGCAACTGCTCCCCTACCATGCAAAAATCAAGGGAATTTAACAAGTTAGAAAAGAATCATTGAAAATTAGACTGTAAGATCTTTAGATCAGAAAAAAAATGCATCTATATTGTGATGTAACCAATATATACTTGGGAGGCGGGGGGAGGAGGAAATGTAAAATTAATGAAGGTACAAACCATGAACAATGCTTTGGAGAAAGCCGACAAGCATTTCACAACTTGGTTCAGCTATAATGCTCAGTAAACAGCAACCCAAAAGGTCCAAAACTATTTCATTGAATTTTACTAACATTGCTTCACTTACCTGTGAAAAGGAAAAAAATCAGGACCATGATCATAGTATACCCAAAGTATAAAATGGTGCTAGCATTTCCTGTTATCTGGAGTTTAGAGAAGAAGTAATGAATTGCATAGATAAAAAGATAAACTGCAGTAAAGCTGCTTGTTAAGAATGATCTCCACCACCAGTGATAATCCTGGAAGAAATGATAAACCGGTTTAGGAGAAAAAAAAAAATCCAAGAACAAAAACTACTGCTACATATTATTTCAAAGCAATTCATTATTTGCAACTATATGAAGGCTGAATTTAAATTCAAGACAGTTATCCAAATCAAAACTTTACCCGGAGCCCTGCTTTATTTAAATTGCTTTTTCCAGTTATTGATACTCCCTCAAAACAGAATGTTAAAATGTTTAACTTAACCCACCCCACAATACAATGTTGAGTTCATAAGCTAAATATTTAACATTTTAAAAGATGGCCTAGCAACTAAATGTTTTTGCTTTTTTGTTTGTTTGTTTGTTTTAAAGAAAAGAGAGAGAATCTTAAATAACTGTACTGGAGATTCAAAATAGTTCCTTTTTTTAAGGTCAGGGTTTATTGGGGGTAGGACGGTTGGGTTTTTTATGTTTCATGTTTGAGCCTTTTTACTAGACAGCTGAGCTGTACTTAACACTTATGGAAACATTAACTAATTGAAGTGCGGGTATTACAATTATATCAGCCAAATCTCACCCTCAAGCACTTTTCAAGTTGATATGCATATGACATAAGAATACACCAAAAATGCAGCTACCTCTAGAGTGAAAGTGCTTGGTTTTGCTGTGCAGAAATTAAGGTACTATGTGGCTGAGGACTGAGACAGCAAAAAAGTTTCAAACATCTGCAGCCTTTAATGGGTATGCATGAAAGTGGGGATACTTGTGTGCATGTCAGATGCCACAAAGTTTACCACATTTGGTACTGAAACTGCAGCATAAATTACATTGGCCCAGAGTGATTATCTCTGCAATCTCAACAAGGAACATTCACAAAGGAACATTCATTCTTTTCCTGAAATTTTAAATACATGCAGCTGAAAAGGATTTTTTTTTTTAATGTTAATGAAATTAGATCTAAAAATTTTCTGTGGTTAAAGAGAAATTTATGGGAAATTTCCAAAAAAGTACTGAAATATTCCTTGCAGTAAGGAGATAATTACTAAATATACACACAGGCCAGATGCTAGCACAATGCCCCTGGAAGTTGAGCAGAGAAGTATTATGCTCTACAGCTGCCTTAACCCAAGTTGCTCGTGACACAGGAAAGACCGCCCCTGCCCCACTAATCTAGCTGTGATGACCATTCCTATGGGTGGTTTCTGTTGTTACAACACTGTTCCAGGAATTAAAATGAGAGCTTGCACAGGTAGCTGCAGATCCAGAGACAACCTGAAAATTACCTTTTTAACGTTTAATATGCATTTTTCACAGAACATAAACTAATGCTATAACCAGGCCAGGAGTATATAAAAATTGGTATCATATAGCCAAAAAAAATCTATGGGAGCATCTACACATGCATTAAGGCACCTAAATTAATGCACGTTAAAATTTAGTACCTCCAATGTGAGGTACTAAATTAATGCTCATTAAGCCATGCTAATGTGTAGTGGTGAATTTTCCTGCTTTTTTAGTGATGCTTAATGCGCAGTAGGCTATTATACTGCGCATTAGTGTAACATCATGTTTTTTTACATGACACAGTAAAATAATCTACTGTGTGTTGTGGAGAT